CGTGATGTAACATTTTCTACCTTGATATCATTTTACTGCCGTGATGTAACATTTACTACCTTGATATCATTTTACTGCCCTGATGTAACATTTTCTACCATGATATCATTTTACTGCTGTGTGATGTAACATTTTCTACCTTGATATCATTTTACTGCCGTGATGTAACATTTACTACCTTGATATCATTTTACTACCGTGATGTAACATTTTCTACCTTGATATCATTTTACTGCCGTGATCGACCATCGTGTTGTGACATTTCATTTTAGCCAGTTAACGTGATGTAACATTTTCTAAATGAAGTAAACTCATTTATATGGAAGCAACATGATTATCTATGATTTTATCCGGAAATGAGCACTGTTTTATTTTTGGGCTCACGCATTAACGCCTTTCCTGTTTTTTTTTCCCTTCTTTTTTTAATCTTCGACCGGTTTCGTCTGATCAAACAGATTTCATCAGGGAGTATAACAAGATAGATCTAAGGAACTGACTTTTTTACACCTCATGATTAAGACAAAATCACTTTCCTTCCTTTCCTTTTAAGGGTGCAAACAGCAGAACGGACAACAGCCACAAAATAAGCGTGCAGGTTGTGACTATAATCCTGCCTTACAAAATTTGCAATGTTTAATTTTGAGGCTCAGGGATGTAATGTTAAATCCGTGAGCCTCAAAATAAAACATTGCAAATTAAAAAGATTGGAAAAAACATGAGCTAGAGTTTTGAGTGGCATATTTTCCTCAAATCAGTTGAGGATTTATGTCAGGAAGTGGAGCAGAGGATACAATTATCTGATTCAAACCCTTTACAAGAATTTTATTCAGACTCCAGGAAAAAAGTCAACAGCACTGATGCGAAAGGCTAATCGGAGCTTCTCTGGCCTCCGGAGCAGATTCTTCTGTTTCTAAGAATGTTCAATGCTAAAATAAATTTTCTAATTTGTAATTTCTGTTCCATAAATTTTGTGTTTTGTTTTTCTTATTGCTCACACAAGAAACGCAAG